CCCCCCCCAGGTGTGGATATGGGGCGGGTTTGGGGCCTGACCCCTCAGGCACGCTCGCCGCGGATGCGCCGTGCCAGCTGGATGTCCTTGGGCATGATGGTGACACGCTTGGCGTGGATGGCGCACAGGTTGGTGTCCTCAAACAGCCCCACCAGGTACGCCTCGCTCGCCTCCTGCAGGAGGAGTCAGCCTTAATTACAGCCCAGTTAACGAGCTCCTGGATCGCTTGGGGTGACTGGGAGGGACGGCAGCTCCTCGGGGTGAGGCAGGGAGGGCTTGTGACCCTTATCTGCCTCCATATCCTCCCAGTGCCCCCCATATCCACCCTCCCCCCATCATCTTCCTCCACCCCACCACTTCCCCACGCCCCAATCTCTTCCCACCTCCCCCTTGGTGTCCCCCTGATGTCCCAGCCTCCCAATGTTCTCCATCCAAGTGTCTTCATGGTGATCCAACGTTCTCCTCTGGGCCCCAGTGTCCTCCCAGTGCCCCCAGATCCCCTTCAGTGCCTCCCCATGTCCCACTGTCTCCCCACTGCCCCAGCATCTCCCCACATCCCAGTATCACCCCAGCACCCCTGTGTCGCTCCAGTGCCCCAGTGATCTCCCCTTGGCACCTTCACAGTACCCCAATGTTTCCCCATTCCCCAGTGTCTCCCCAGCACCCCTATGACTCCTCAGTGTCTCCCCACTGCCCCCCATGTCCCCATGTCTCCCCAGCACCCCACAGTCTTTCTACTGCCCCACTGCCTCCCTGCCTCCCAGCATCTCCCCAGAGCCTCAGCGTTTTCTCCCCGGAGCCCCTCAATGTCTTTTCGGTGCCCCAATGTTCTCCCCACCCCCCTCTTCATAGTATCCCAATGTTCTTCCCCCCCTTTCTTCGGGGTGCCCCAATGTTCTCCCCCCCTTGTCTTCACGGTGCCCCAGTGTTCCTCCCCAACCCCCCTGCCCCCACCTGCAGTGCTCCGATGGCGGCGCTCTGGAAGCGCAGATCAGTCTTGAAGTCCTGGGCGATCTCACGCACCAGGCGCTGGAAGGGCAGCTTGCGGATCAGCAGCTCTGTGGATTTCTGGTACCGCCGGATCTCCCTCAGCGCCACAGTGCCGGGCCTGGGACAAACCACAGGAAAATGGGGACAAACCACAGGAAAATGGGGACAAACCACACGGAAACGGTGAAACCCCCTCAAAAATCCCAGCCAGCCCCTGTCCTGATGCAGGGCTGCTGTCAGAGCAGAACCAGCAATTCGTGTTTGATGTCAGCCCCCCTGGCCCCTCCCCTCCCCCCCGGACCGGTACCGGTATCGGTGCGGCTTTTTGACGCCGCCGGTGGACGGGGCGCTCTTGCGGGCCGCCTTGGTGGCCAGCTGCTTGCGCGGTGCTTTACCGCCCGTGGACTTGCGGGCCGTCTGCTTGGTGCGGGCCATGCTGCCCGCTCCTCAGGGGCTGCGGGACAAGAGAAGGCCGTTAAAACCCGACCCCAGCGCCGTGGGGCGTCGAGCCTCGCCGCCATGCTAAGGCCGCACCGTTCCCTCAGCGCGTTGGACTACAACTCCCAGAGGTCTTCGCGCCGCAGCAATATTTTTTTTTCACCGCGCCGAACGCTGATTGGCCGCGCGGGGCCACGTGCCCGCGCAACGCCTCGCTGGTTCGCTGCCGGCGCGCGGCCAATCCGTTTGTAAGCCGCCAGAAGCGGGGCCGCACCCCCCGCTCTCCTCGCAGATTGACACTCCCATCCGCCTATCCTCTTCCGCAGCGCCGCGCGGCGGGAGCCAATCACCCGCGCCGCAACGACTGGCACGCCCCTCAACCTATCACCTCGCATCGCTCCGCGTGGCGGGAGCCAATCCGCGCCCCCGCTCCCCGCAACCAATCAGTGGCAGGTACACACGGAAGGCGGGACTTAGGGCAGCTTCTCCTCAGGCGACCTCGACTCCCCCCCAACCCCCCAATGCCCCCGCGCACCGGGAGCGGCCCCGGCAGCGGTCCCGAACACCGCCACCGGCCCCGCGCCGCCTTTACCTGCGTTCGAGGCCGCTGAAAGGCGTGTGGTGCTGCGGGGCTGCACCTGGGGCTGCGCTCAGTACCTGCCCGCCGCCTGCCCGCTGCCTTCTTTCCCGCCTTTCCCGCCAGCCCTGACACAAAATGGCGGCCCCGTTCCCAGCGTGCACCGCGGCGGTGGGGGGGGGAGGTTGGAGGGGGAGGGGCGGGGTCGGCTGAGGTGAGGCGGCCCGGGCGCCATCTTGGAGTCGTGGTGGCGATGCGCGAAGGGCCTTTGGGGGCCGAGGTGTGGTGCGGCCCCGGGGCGGGAGGAAAGGCCGCACTTTGGGGCTGGAGGGAACGCGTCTCGGGGTGGAGTGGCCTTAAAGGCCGTGGCTGGGCCGGAAGGGCCTCCCTGAGCCCACTCCTCCCATGGGCGGCTGCCCCCCACCGGCACCGGGGCCAGCCGTGGCCCTCATCTCATCTGAGCGCTGTGAGGGAGAAGTCCCAAACTCCGCATCTTTGTGCCCAAAAGCGGATACAGTGAAGGCTGGGTTTCCTCCCCAGCCCCACCTGCCTGTTGGGTTCTGACTGAACGCCTCCTGGGTTCCACCCCTCGTCCTTCCCTGGCACGTTTCAGGCACTGGTAAACGCACAAACCACGTTTTGTTGCTCAAGGGAACGTTGTGCTCATAACCCCATTCCTTTTCCATCCCTACAGCCTGAGAAATCATCCGCCTCCCAGTGACTCAGTGACATCTCCACCCACCAGCTCAGAGCTGCACCCCTGGGAGGAGAACAGAGGAAAATGTGAATTCTGATTGGAATTTCAGGCGTCTCCCCGAGGGAAAAGGCAGCAACACGCAGAGCTCTGCTTGCTGCAGTCACCAGAGGGCACACGTCTGCTGCAGTGACACGGAAACGTTCCCAATTTGTGCTGTTCTGAGGTGGGTTCCTCAGTGAGACCCCCAAAATGGGGTCTGTGAGGGCGGGGGTCTGTGGGGATCTGCTCAGAGTGACGCCAAGCTGAAGGGGAACCCCAAAGCAAAGGGGGAACTGAACCAACAAGGGAATAAAAACGCAAAGGGAAATGAGGCAGCCCAAAATTCCTTTATGGAGAAACATCACCGAGTGGTGCTGTAATGGCAGAACAGCTCAACCCGGGAGAGGAGCAGCAGTCGGTGAACGATGCAGGCATAAAGCAGAACGTCGATGGCGTCAAACGAAACCTCTATGTCCTGAATTCAAACGTGGACAGCGTGTGCCAAACCTGGGTGGTGCCAAATGAAACCTGGGTGACAATAAAGCAGAGCCTGGATGATGTAAGGCCAACATGGATGACATAAAACCCAACCTGGACGACATAAAACTGAATCTGGATGACATAAAACCCAACCTGGATGACATGGAGTGAAGCATCGACGACGTAAAGCAGACCCACAGCAGGTTGGAACAGGAGCTCTGGCTCCGATGCCGTGCGCGGGTTCTGGAAGCAGCCCTGTGCCCGGGGGCTTTTTGGCTGCTCCCATCATGGAGCGCTGTGCCGGCAGAGCCAGGCCGTGCTGGGGGGGTCAGCGTGGGCCCCCACGGCCCCGTTGGATGTGGGGCGATGTGGGGCCTACGGCAGGGCGGCTTGGATGGCGGCCACAAGGCGCTGCAGTTTGGCGTCCGTGTCCACGAAGCCGTCGCCGTTCTGCAGGGGGAGGGCGGTGGGTTTGGGTGCAAAAGGGGGGGGGGTTTGGGGAGATTGTGTAGAAAATAGCGGGGTTTGGGGTGGTTGGGTGGAAAACAGTGGGGTTTGATGGTGGTTAGGTACAAAATAGTTGGGTTTGGGGGCACTTGGGTAGAAAACAGTGGGGTTTGGGGGTGGTTGGGTAGAAATTAGCAGGATTGGGGGTGGCTGGGTGGAGAAGAGTGGGATTTGGGGGGTGGTTGGGTGGAAAGTGGTGGGGTTTGGGGGTGATTGGGTGGAAAGTGGTAGAATTCGGGTAGAAAAGAGCACGATTTGGGGCAGTTTGGATGGCAAATGGTGACTGGGGGGCTCTGGGCAGCGCGAGGGGCTCTGCCAGCACCACGCACCTTCTTGGAGTGCACCAGGCGGCCGCCCACCGTCACCTCGAACCATCCCGTCACCTCCTTCGTGCCCTGGCCTCGCTGCGGGACACGGGGGGGGAGAGGGGTCACCTCGAGACCCCCCGCCCCCCCGCCCCCCTTCCCCCGGCGCCCCGCTCACCATCTCCAGCGCTCCGGGGAAGCGCTTCTCCAGCTCCGCCCGCAGCCGTTCGTACTGCGAGGAGGGAACAGGAGCTCAGCGCGCGTGGGGAGGATTTGGGGGGCGGAACTGGGGGGGGAAACGGGCTCACCTTGGGTTTGTAGCCTCAGGCTCCGCTGCGGGAGAAACCCGTCGGTGTTAATGGGGGGGAAAACGGCCGGAGCCGCCCCCCCCCTCCCAGAAACCTCCCCCCGGTGCCCCCTTACCAGTAGAGCACGGTGACACGGAGCGGCATGGCGGCGGCACCGCTGGTGACAACGGCAGCTTTAACGGCGGAT